TTTCTCATAATAATGAGAAACTTTCTCGAAATAATGTCTTATTTTTCTCATAATAATGAGATTCCACAATTCCATCCGTGTTTTCCACATTGCGGAAATCATAGGGCCATAGGCGTACCTTGTGGGAAGGTCCAAACTCCACCTCTGAGTCGCTGTCATCAGAATCCTGCGTGTTGCCAGAGTTGAGGGTCCTGAGGTGTGCGCCAACCCATTTAGAGCGTCTGTAATGAGCCCATTTCATGACTTTGTATTGTTGAGGTTGACTCTGGAAAAAACACGTTCTTTTCGAAATTATCTTACATTATGGGTTTTTTTTTTCATTATTGGTCATACATCGTACAGAGATCAAAATTATCGTACGTCTGGCAACACTGGAGCTCTGAACGGCTCTGAACGGCTCTAGCCCAAGCTGTGATATAAACGAATGCTATTGGCTATTTTAAAAAGGGGTGGGGTTGCTTGATATGTCCCGCCCTGTCTTCCTGTTTCAGTTAAAATGACGTGAACACATAGAGTAACGCTGCATGTTTCTAAGCATTTCAGGGGGCCTTTAAGCATTTGAACACCAACAAACAAGTTGGCTCAAGTTGGCTCAAGTTGTAGAATTTTATGAAAAATAACTGTCATGTTCACACTGCCCCAACAAACTTCAAGTCAAAGAAAATCAAGTACACCGTGTCTACACTGGACGCAACAGTTGTCGCATCCAGTGTGGACAGCGTCACTGATTATAATCAATAGAACCTCATTGTATTCTGTCGTGCCGCGCCGCTCGCGTCCAGTGTAGATGCATGGGATAACATCGGGGAAGTCTGACTGGGGAAGAAATGGATGATCCTGTAGCCACAATCAACATTTTACTGTCATTAATGTCTTTGTGGGTCATTCTTCGTCTGAAAGACGGTGAATAAAACGAAAGAGGCAGTGGTTGACGCTCACTTTGAGTGAAATACTGTATATGCATCGTCATGGCAGTGGTTACGTCAGAGTTTGTTGTAGTTTTTTGGAAAATCATTTCACACTGCTCAGACATTCCACGAACCAACAAATCCCGATTAAGCATGTTCATGAGTAGTAGAATTTATTATATATATATATATATATATACACACTGACCGGCTACTTTATTAGGTTCACCTGTTCAATTGCTTGGTAACACAAATGGCTAATCACATGGCAGCAACTCAATGCATTTAGGCATCTAGATGTGGTGAAGACGACTTGCTGAAGTTCAAACCGAGCATCAGAATGGGGAAGAAAGGGGATTTAAGTGACTTTGAACGTGGAATGGTTGTTGGTGCCAGACAGGCTGGTCAGAGTATTTCAAAAACTGCTGAACTACTGGGATTTTCACGCACAACCATCTCTAGGGTTTACAGAAAATGGTCCGAAAAAGAGAAAATATCCAGTGAGCGGCAGTTGTGTGGACGAAAATGCCTTGTTGATGTCAGAGGTTAGAGGAGAATGGGCAAACTGGTTACAGATGATAGAAAGGCAACAGTAACTCAAATAACCACTCGTTACAACCAAGGTATGCAGAATACCATCTCTGAATGCACAATACGTCAAATCCTGAAGCAGATGGGCTACAGCAGCAGAAGACCACACCGGGTGCCGCTCCTGTCAGCTAAGAACATGAAACGGAGACTACAATTTGCACAGGCTCACCAAAATTGGACAATAGAAGATTGGAAAAACGTTGCCTGGTCTGATGAGTCTCGATTTCTGCTGCGACATTCAAATGGTAGGGTCAGAATTTGGCCTAAAGAACATGAAAGCATGGATCCATCCTGCCTTGTCTCAACGGTTCAGGCTGGTGGTGATGGTGTAATGGTGTGGGGGATAATTTCTTGGCACACTTTGGTCACCTTTACCAATTAAGCATCGTTTAAACACCACAGCCTACCTGAGTATTGTTGCTGACCATGTCCATCCCTTTATAACTACAGTGTACCCATCTTCTGATGGCTACTTCCAGCAGGGTAATGCACCATGTCTCAAATCATCTCAGACTGGTTTCTTGAACATGACAATGAGTTCACTTTACTCAAATGGCCTCCACAATCACCAGATCTCAATCCAATAGAGCACCTTTGGGATGTGGTGGAACGGGAGATTCACATCATGGATGTGCAGTCGACAAATCTGCAGCAACTGCGTGATGCCATCATGTCAATATGGACCAAAATCTGAGAAATGTTTCCAACACCTTGTTGAATCTATGCCACGAAGAATTAAGGCAGTTCTGAAGGCAAAAGGGGGTCCAACCCGGTACTAGCGAGGTGTACCTAATAAAGTGGCCAGTGAGTGTATATTCGATGTAGTACATTTGATAGATTTCTGACTCTGACCAAATTTGTTTTTCCTTATGTTTTTTACCATATCAAAAATGCCTTTTGTTTCTGCACTTACAGTTCCCTCTGGATAACAATGACACTTTTGATGTTTATACTGTAGGCCTACTGTAGTCAGAGTTCATCACATGCTGTTTTTGTTGAAACTGAAACCTTGTGACTTGTGACAAATATATAATGTAGCCTAGTGTCTCAATCAAGAATAAATTTGTTCAAAATCAAACATGCAAACGTTTTCACTGTTCTTGTACATGTCCTACTTTTTTGAAGTCATTTATAATGAACTGTTAATTTCTCTTCCAGGTGCATTGGGTTTTTATACAGACAGAGTGCCAGTGTTTGTCATGTTGGAAGATTCAGTCACTCTAAACACAAATGTTAAAACAAACCAACAAGAAAAGATTAAATGGTTTTTCAACCACACTCGCATCGCTCAAATCAGTGATTATCTCAGTAAGACCTGTACAGATGTTCAGTGTAATGAAGGTACTGAAAGATTCAAAGACCGACTGAAGCTGGATCATCAGACCGGATCTCTGACCATCACAAACATCAGAACCACAGACCCTGGACTGTATAAACTACAGATCATCAGCAGTAACAGCATCAGTGAAAAGATCTTTAGTATCACTATTCATGGTGAGTTTCCATATTTTCCTGTGTTTCCTTTGTTCTAGTTGCCAGTTTGTTTTCATAGGCACTCACTGTTTGTTTTCACCTGTGCCTTTATTTAGTTTGTCGTTTTCTTGTGTATAATTGCCCTCAGTTCCCTGGAGTTCAATGTCCAGTATTGTCTTTGTAAGTTGTGCAAAGTTCAAAGTTGTTCTTCTACGTTCTGTGTTCTCACCATTCGAATTCGAATCACAATCACCATTATATTTATTTTGTAAATAAACTTCTATCACTGCAAATAGATTCACATTCAACAATCAGATGTTTATCTGTGTTTCAGATGTTCCTGGCGTAGAGACCGATAAAACGAAGGCCAAGTCAGTGATGGAGGGAGAAACTGTCACTTTTGATCCTGGTGTCATAAACAACCCAAATTATTTGATGAGATGGTATTTTAATGACAGTCTCATCACTGAAATCACTGGAGATCAGAGTAAGATCTGTACAGATGCTGATGAGAGATTCAGAGACAGACTGCAGCTGGATCATCAGACTGAATCTCTGATCATCACAAACACCAGAACCACAGACTCTGGAGATTATCATCTTGAGATCATCACCAACAGCAGCAGCATCCGTCGTCAGTACAGCATCAGAATTATCAGCGAACAGAGCCATAGTGAGACTGTCACAAGTGAGATGATTCAGCCATTGAGCTCATTCACTTGAGGAGGTTTAGAATACAATTCAGTGTATTTATGTTTTCACTGTGGCCCGTCTGAAACATGTGGCCTCACTGATCACTATCAATGACATGCATATCAAGTCACAGTAAATGCATGTTGTTTTATCGGTGCTGATAGCCTAGTGGTTAATGCACTGACATGTAGTGCAACTGCGCCTGCAGTGACCCGAATTCAAATCACAATCCCATTCCCCACTCTCCACACCATGCTTTCCTTTCAGTCTTCACTGTCCTGTCCACTTAAGCATGAAAAAGGCCCAAAAAAAGCATGTTGTTCACAGGTCGAAAGTTATTAACTAACTGATCTCTATTACAGGGATATGCATGTCAAATGCCATAACAATAACGTGTGGTTCACAGATCAAAAGTTATATAATTAATGCATAATATCATTTAGTTTACCCATTGGCACAGTACTGATGAATATAGACAGTAACACTAGATGGCGCCATTTCCGTTCACAGTATCCTTTAACTGATGAATGTGGAAGGGTGTAATTATCAGTTAAAGGGGTCATATGATGCGATTTCAATTTTTCCATTCTCTTTGGAGTGTTACAAGCTCTTGGTGCATAAAGAAGATCTGTAAAGTTGCAAAGACTAAAGTCTCAAATCCAAAGAGATATTCTTTATAAAAGTTAAGAGTCAGCCACACCCACCTAAAATGGCTCATTCTAACACGCCCCCACATGTCTACGTCACGATGTGGGAAGATTTGCATAACGCCGCCCAAAAGTTCACGCAAAGAAAGAAGGCATAACTTTTATTCTCGCTGTATTATTGTTGTTGTTGCCGCCGCCGCCATGTCGTGGAGAAGAAGATATCTGCTTTGTCATGCCTGGAGCTGATCCGTGCTGGTCGCTGAGGAAATACTACAACTTTGCGCTGTGGATCGCCGGATCGGCTTTCACCGTGGACGAAGCGGTGGTTACGTTGTATTTACAACACTGTTCCAGAACAGTTCAACGCAAATATTCAGATGTGTGCAGCGCATTTTATGGAGGACTGTTTCCTGATCCTGGTAGAGTAGACTACAATGCCGGCTGTTCTGACTTACAGACTGTAAGTACGTTTTTCATATTTAAAGAATTTGCCACTGATGATTCAAACGCGAGTTTTGGGCAGTGTAGAGCAGCGCTTGTTGTTTGTCATTTCTCCGATCAAAAATGCAGATATGGTTTTATGTTTATGCGGCTCGATACGCAACGCATAAAAAGACAGAATAAGTCATTATAATCCGTAATTATGTCCCCACTGGATGCAACAAATGCCTCGTTTATAATGGGTTTTAATGTTTTTGTCTCATCGCTCCAGCCCGGACAAGGCATCACAATATGGTAAGGGGCGTAACATTTCCATCACACGCTTGAGGTATTTGGCCAATCACAACGCACTGGATAGCTGGCCAATCAGAGCACACCTCGCTTTTCAGACAGATGAGCTTTGTAAAAATCGGTGCGTTTCAGAAAGGTGGGGCATAGAGGAGAAACAACAATGTGCATTATGTAGAAAATAATGTGTTTTTTTAACCTTATAAACTGCATAAACACTTTTCATTACACCAAATACACCAAATAATGTTCTTTTTAGCAGCATCATATGACCCCTTTAAAGATATCTAAAAAAAAATCAGCTGTCAATCTAGTAATAATGACTGTTTGTCTTTTTCATTACAGACTGGATTGTGCTTGTACTTGGTATAGCAGGAGCATGTGTTGGTGTTCTGCTGGTGTTTGCAGGTGTAACTGGTGAGAATTTCTGGTTGTGTGTTTTCGGTGTGTATTTGTGTGATGTAGTTTCAATCATTACAAAATATTTAGATGTGCAAGTTGTTTAGGGAAGATGACTAGATTTTTAAATGGGGTCATAACATGATTTTTTTATTATTATTTTAATATGTTCCTTGAGGTTCACTATAATGTTAATCTTTTGCACAAAAAATATCCAAAAACAATCATTTTTAACCCCCATTCTGACCTTCTGAAATAACCAGTTTTTAAGGCACGTCCCCTTTAAAGGGATAGTTCGCCCATAATTTACTCACCCTCAAGTCATCCTAGGTGTATATGACATTGGTGAGAGTGAGACGTAGGTGAGAGTTTGTTTTGCTCTATCCTCAGCGCTTTGACGTTTGTCAATATATGAGTTGGGTCAGAGTCAGTTTTCCACCACAACTCGACTTGAGTACAGCCGTTGTTGGAAGCTAGTTATCATAGTTTATACAGTTTTAAATATGTATATTTTTCACTTCGGAAGGCTTTTATTATCCCCCTGGTGTCATATGGATTACTTTTATGATGGATGGATGCACTTTATGGGCTTCAAAATCTCAAGCCCCATTCACTACCATTATAACTCTGACTATGTTAGTCTGAAAGAAGAAAGTCATATACACCAATATATAAGTCATATAGCATGACGTTTTAAGCTATGAAACTTGAAGGATGATTTAATGGTACAAAGTCCTCTTTTATGTCAAAAGATCAAGGCAAATTTGATTTCACGTGTCATGCTCCCTTTAACTGTAAAAATTAGATGTTTCACTGGCAAAGTCTTATGTTTTTAATCTTTTCAGCCATCTTATAGAAACATCCAAATTCTTACTGATCCAGACTTTTATCAGATTTAAGTGTGAAGAGTATTTGTGTCTGTGTGTAAGCAGAATCTCAATCATGTTCTTTTCTATTAACCTCTGTCGATTTGTTTTCTTCTTATAGGAGAGTGTTGTAGAAAACGTGCCTTGCAAAGGGTGTCCTGTATCGCTCGCTAAATCATCAAACGACTGGCCTTTAATTGCATGAAGGAACATACTGTATCATTTACAGCACACTAAAAATAATTATAATTTTGACTGTGAAAGACAGGAAAAACCTGTTAATTGGCTAATGGTAAGTTCCGTTATTATATGCAAAAACTAACAGAGCTAACATTACATTTTACCATTTTAGAGGTTAATTTTACTATTCTGAAAGTAAAATGATCAATCATATAATTTACAGTGAAAGGCCATGAAGTGACATTCCCAGAATCCCCTGTATGGAACTTTTTTGTTACCAGTTATGCACATTATGGTTTAATGGAACATCCTATGTTGTTAAATTAGTGTTTATTGCATTATTTCAGTGTCATGTTTGTTAGCATTATGGTGTCTTGTGTTTGTCTGTATGACACTGTGCGCACTTTCCATATATTGGTATTCACCTCAGCTTGAGGAAAAGCTACTTGTGATTAACTTTGATTCATCTTATGGTTTTTCTCTTTCCACATGTGTCATTATGGTGGATGTCAGTATTTTTTGAAAATATGAAACAGATTTTAGTGGTAGCATGTCTTTGTGAATTCAGCAGAAAAGGTCTCTTGGATTTACTCTTTTGAAAAAAAAATGTATATATATATATATTGTAAATTATAGTTTGAATCTATTAAAGTTACATGATGTTCTGTTAATGTTTGCATTTTTCTTGCATTTTTGCAGAATTACTGATTGTAATATTGCTCATATTAACATACTTAATTGTTCTTTTATTTCTGTTTAATTGTAGACCTTGCATAACAATACTTTTTCTTAATAAATCCTTGAACTCTTTCTCCTCTATCCATTTTTATCCATATTCTACCAGAACTCTTTGAGTAAAAGTATGTTTGAGAGCAGGTTCTGGATTTGTGAACAAAAATGAAGTGTCTACTAGTGTATTCTTATTGAAAATACATTTTGAAGGGCAGTACAGAAGATCCACGTTGTTTTCCATAGGCATGAACAATATAAAAATGGTGTTGTTTCTCATGGCATGATGTTTTTATTTTCTTAAAGGGTTAGTTCACCCAAAAATGAAAAAAAGTGAGGGTACACTACAGCTTAAATGTAGAAGTGCCGAGGGTACCCCACTTTCTGGCAATAATAATGAAAGCAAACATTGCGCTTTCTGCCTTCTCTGTCTGTGTGAACTTGAGTTTGTCAAAAAATGAACCAAAACCCTGTGTACTTGCCTCACAGACATGAACTATATATATATATATATATATATATATATAAATGTCTACTTATTAATGAACAAATACAAATGTAAAACAAATATTTCAGATTATGTAATCCATATGAAACGTGCAGATCCACTACTAAGGAGATGACGACCTAATCCAATTTTACCATATCAGCCATTTTGGGCATCAACCATTTATAATTTTGTTATAAAATGCTATATTTTATGAACACATTCATGTATTATCACAAAACTCATTTGGCACCATGCCCTGAAGGTTGAAGGTTGAAGCTAAAAAGGCTAATTACTTTTGATTAATTTTGCCCATTTTAATGAAACTGGTTAGATTCCTTGGGTCATGCGGAGAAAAATGATACCAATTTTGCCAATCGTACCAATCTTCCTGTCCTCCATTCTGATTTTCTTTAAAAACGTTTTTTCAAATTTTCTTTTTTTCAAACTCCTCCTAGACGATTTGTTCTGTTGTCATCTATTGGCAAAAAGTTATGGATTTTGTGTTGAAAGGTGAAACTGTTTTTGTATACCGTATCAACAAATTGCACCTGAGGCTCTATTGCTGCAATGTTTTCATATATTGACACCAAACTTTGCATGTGTCATTGTCACATTACTCCCCAGATAGCACACGTACCTCTACAAAATATCTGTTAAAGATCTCTTCATCTGGAAAGCATCTACTGTGTACAAACATCTGATAAACGTCTTTTAAGTTGCCAGTTTTACATGCATTCTAAATCATAAACATCTTAAAGACATCTTCTAAAGGTCTTTTTGACATCTGATAGGAAACGTCCTGTAGACCTATTGCAGATGAGCAAACACTCTAAAAAATACATCTTGCAGATGTCATATTGTCGTCTCCGTGACGTACGTGTGCTATCAGGGTCTGACCATTCTAAATCAGTTTGGTAACAGTGTCACCTATTGGGAAAAATGATAAACCATTAAATCATATTACTAGTGATTGTATTTATGATTTTTCAGCCGTTTTGACTAAAATCATCTTAATATTCTTTAATTACTCATTGTTGCAGTTGGTCTGATGCTCCCAGCCATGCTGGCATGACTTACCATGCCCTTAATTGCTGCTTGCAGTTATAATGTTGTATTAAGGTTTGGTCAAACTGTGTGCATCAGTATTTGCTCACACACTTTCCGACAAGCAAGAGAGATAAATATTATACAACTTTTGCTCGCCTCCAATAGAAAGTCACTCCCACGTAATTTGAAGGCTTTTCAGTGTTTGTGCAGTAATGCTTTTTGTACTTATGCCTTGGAAACCAAACTAAAGGTTCAAAAACTAGCCTAAGTAGGCTACAAAAGTGAGGCGAGCAAGTATATGTACTTGAATATTAAATAAAATTTTTCACTTACAAAAAATACATGATATTTGCACATTTCACACAATAAGGTTTCACAGTAAATCACTGTTTGATTTGAGAGAAGATTTTATCTGTTAGATGATCATGCATTTCAGCAAACGGTGAGTTTCACATTAGCAACCATGAATGAAAAAAGTCCTTCAACCACACAAATTCAAACCTCTAATATGCACTCTCAAATGCACATCAACTGCAAATGTTCAATAATAGGCACTCTTATACACATGCTGTTTGTTTAGGCAACAGATCAAATCGCATGTACATCACTCAGATGTTCAAACTGAGCTGGTACTCCCAGTGGGAAAGCTACGAAGTGTAGTTTTTTCATCATTAGATTGTTGTTCCAGAATTGGTGCTGATTTCAGGCCTACACGTCCGTGTGGATTCTCAGCAATGTCAAAACTTGTCACATACTGAATCCAGATGTCTAGTGAAAGGGATTTGTACTTAGGAAAAGATAAAGTTTCATCATCTTATGTAGACAGGCGCATACTCCACGTGATTCTCCTCTGTAGCCATCTGTAAAAATACAACACACAAGATACAAAGAGAACGTTTTATTTTCTAATTGCACACAAAATTAACCATTTTTGTTCATGCATAGTTCATAAACAACAGCAAAAGTGTGATTTACCAGGCTAAAACAAACACTGTGCCAAATATTGTGTTGTTGTTAATAGACTGATCATCACATAAAACACAGTAACTCACCATTTCTTGTGGATTTCTTTTGTAGAATGTCAGATCAGCGTAAAAGATCTCTTCATCACGAGTCTGAAGTGCTACATCATCAACTTCATCAACTATAACAATTAAAAATAAAAAAGCATGCATTAAAAACAAAATTTAACTTTATCTCTTTTTTCTCTTCACAGAGATCAGAGATCAAAACATCAGATAATAAACAGAATGCTTATAAATTGAAGTGAGTTAATGGCACCATCTAGTGTCATTGTATAGATATACACACGTGTATATAGAGATATGAATGTAATGAACAGAAATGGTCAAACCAAAAAAAGTAGAAAAAGCTATTTCCAATTGTTTCTTAAAAGCAGTAGGTAATGCTTGCATTCTTGATCAGATTCTCTATATTTCCTGCAGATGCAGAATATCCCAAACAGAGTTATAATCAACAGAGATAAGAGAGTTTGTATCTCTATAATTCCACAATACATCATCTTCACATATCTCAGTACCATCAGTGTTTAGAGTGACAGAATCTCCCTCCATCACTGACTGTATTTCAGCGCCAGACACACCTAAAGTACATGAAAAGGTTTTGATTCTTGTTGAAATCAGTTTGTAACATTTAAATGTGAATTGAAGAACAGCAAAAGAGACACAAAAGATCAAATATCACTTATATGAACAGATAGATGAGCATGATCTTTTACAGAATGGAGTGTATTGAAAATCTGAAATAGCAGAAAGTCTCCTGTGAGGGGTAGGTTTAGGGGTAGGGTTGGTGTAGGGCAATAGAATATACGGTCTGTACAGTATAAAAACCATTACGCCTATGGGATGTCCCCACTTTTCACAAAAACAAACCTGTGTGTGTGTGTGTGTTTAAGTTATCTCCAGTAGAGCAAAATAAACATGTCAGATTCATAAAACAAGACGTTACATTTTGCTAATCCTTTTCAGTAATCTCAGGATTGTATATGAGGAACATTAACACAGGTTTGCTGAAAGGAGGCCTGGATATAAAGTAAATATCAGTTTGATTTAATTGACCCATGGGAAGAAAAGCAAATGCAAACCCCAAGTTTGAACAGCAGCAGTAATGTTCTGAAACGAAGAAATGAAGACATAAAAATCTTACCTAGCAGCCGTCTCCAGCACAAACAGAACAAAACAAGCACGTGAAACATTTTCCATTCCGTGTCTGATCTAAAAAGCCTATGTCGGCTGAAAACACTCAAGCTGGTGTGAATCCTGAGTTTGACCCTCCTAATGCACACACACCTGCTCTGTGTGATAGAAAATTACATATACATGTCCTTCTGAACCTTTTTGAGATTTTAAATGTTCTTTATTGAAAAACAGTTTTCATTTTTATAATTTAACACTGATATTTTAAAAATGGTTTACAATCATTTAGTTGTATAGCCAATGATAAAATAGGTCAATTCATCTCCCATCTGCCATTTCCGGTCTTATTGAAGTGACACTAATAGCTCGACATCTGAGTCAAACTGAAACCTGCAGCGGTTTGATTTCCTCCGAAATCTTGTGCATGCATGATTCGCTTGTAGGTGAATATTTCCTGTTATTATGAACCTTATAGTTGATGCCCACTAACAGTTTGAAAGAAAATTAATCCATCATGAAAACTTGAGTAGTTGCCGTAGTTTTCAATCTAAAACCTGTTTGCATACGCTGCTTGTTATTTATGAAGACA